CGCTGGGCTCAGCGCCTGAGCCGTGCTCACACTAAAGCAGGGTGTGTGAGTTATCCCTACGTTTTAAGTCCGACCAAGAAAAAAAGTACATCCCGTGAATACTTATTAATTTCACAGGAAACGATGGCACGTGTCCCAGAGAGAAAGGTCACCTTAGCCAAGTGTGTTAGTCCTTGAGGCTGCCGTGACACAGGAGCACAAACAGCAACGTGTCCCCTCTCAGTTCTGGGGAGGGGACGTGGGGAGGCCGGGTATCAGCCGCCCGCTCCAGCCGAAGGCCCTGGGGAGGGTCCATCTGGTCTCCCCCGGCTGCTGGTTGTGGTGGCCCCAGACCCTCGGCTGCAGAGACGTCACTCTAGTCTGTACCTCCGCCTTCTCCCTGTGAGTCGGGGTCCACCCTTCCCTCTTTCCATAAGGACAGCAGCTGTATTACATTTGGGGTCCCTAAACTCAGATGACCCCATTTCACCTGATGACATATGAAAAGACCCTGTTTCCAAATAAGGTCACGTTCTGAGGCTCCAGTGGACATGAATTGGGGGGCGATCGCTAGGTGGCCCAACAGCAGGGAGGGGGCCTGTGTAAAGGCGGCAAACACATCAGCGTCCAAGGTGCTGGTCTCCAGCGCCGCCGGATGTGAATCCCTCGGGGAGGGCGGTGGCCCCCTGGAGCCCCCGCTTTTGGTCTGAGACGTGCAGGGTGAACTGCGGGTGTGCAGGAGGACAGCTAGCTCGGGTGACGCGTGGACGCAAGTGTCACGCACTGGCGCTGGTTCACCGAAACCACGCACGGGGGTAGAGTCACTGCGCAGAGAGAGTAACGGCGACAGCGTGCAAAGCAAGCCATCTGTCCAGCTCTCCCACATGCGTGAAAGGCGCATCATAAAACACGGGGATAAAGCACGCCCCGTTCCTTTCCCCCGCGGTGGAAGACCCCGAGTCTCGCGCCTCGAATCCCGAGGTGTGGAGGGGCGCCGCCCTTTTGCAAAGCCCCCCGCCCCGTGCCACCCACGGGCGAAGGTCTCCATCGTTCCGATCTGCCGTCAGTGAAAGCGCTTTAAACGTGGGGGGTGGTCTGGCACCGCGTCCCCACATTCAGACTCACTCGCCCCTCGGGAATGGCGGGGGTGGGGGGAGGATGCTTAACCTGCGCATGCGTGTCTCCCACCCACCTGCCGCCCTCTGCCCGCCCTCCCCACGTGACGCCGTGGGAATCCGGACCCCAGCGCCTCCCGGCTGGGGGCGCCCAGCGGAGCGCGGGCTGGAGATGGGGGTCGCGGGTGATGGGGAAAGGAGAAAGGTTGGAGAGGAGACACCTGGCTCTCAGGGTCCGCGGCGTCCGTGGGAGAGGTGTGGGGGAGGGGAGCCCCAGTCGCCAGGCCAGGGGTCTAAGGAGGGTGGGAGTCCAGCGGTCCGGGCCGGCGCACTCACCCGCACGATGTAGGAGACCCCAGGACCCAGGACCCTGGCGTCTGGGTGGAGCCAGCCGTGCGCCGGCTTGTGGATGAAGCTGCCCTTGCGGAT